ATGTGACACTGAAGACTGGAGTAATGGCTGCTGAAAATTCAGCATTTTAAAATTACATTTTAAAATACATTAAAATAGAAAACAGCTATTTATTAATTGTAGTAACACAATTTTTAATAAAAAAATTTTTTTTAATGAAATAAATGCAGTGTTGATGAGCATAAAAACATCTTTCAAAAGAATTTGAAACATCGTACTAACCCCAAACCTTTGAACAGTATATCTGTAGTGCCGCAAACACAGTCTCTCTCGAGTGAACTGCAGCTCTCACAGCCCTGCAGCTTGCGAGGAGTCTCAACCCACCTGTATGAAGGAGGTGAAACGCTGGTCCTTCTTCTGCCGGGATTTGATGAGCTCCAGGGCGAAGGGTTGGTTACTGCAGAAAGTGCCCACTGCTTGCTTGATCTTCTCCTCCTCTCCACCACTGAACTAGAAAACAACAAGCCAGAGGATTTGTGGGTGGGTGGGAGTCTTATCACTCAGAGAAGACCTATCACAACGGCCACAGGATACGAGCAAAACATGAGCCCTTACCCAAGACAGCAACTCATCTCCTATGTGATCGATGACCGATGACTCATTCTTCTTGCGTATCGCTGTCATTTGATCTGCTATCCTCACTGGAATTTTAAACAGCAGATGCCATGATGTGAAACATGTGGCGGTTTATCGGAAGAAAATGTATTGGAAGCAAACATACTGTGTAACTGGATGATTTCCTCCAGGTTGGTGAATATGTTCTTGATGTCAGCAGGGGGCAGTATGTTGTCTCGGGTGAGTTTCTGGTAGAAGACACTGTCTAGGACCTTCAGCACGCGTAAGTGGGCTCGCTCCGTGTAGAATAGCTCTAAGAGCATCAAATAGACTGAGGGTTACTTCAAAACAAACCAAAAACCAAAACAACACCTCTAACAATGCATTGTGCATGTTAAATCTACAGATTTAAAGAGCACCTCTCTGATTTATTTAGTGAAAGCGAAAAGATTGTACCATTAATGACTTCTTGTCTCTTGATCTCATGGGGCGTCAGGCCTGCTAAAACATCACGCCCGACCACCTGCTGCCAGTTTGGAGGATCAACATCAGAGTAAACATCACTCCCCTGATCATCCTCACTCTGCAACTCTTCAAACCTGTGAGGGAGGAGATGGTACATAGATTAACACTCTCATTAAGCTCAATGTGTATCTCTATCTGAATGTGAGAGTTGGTGCAAAATAAGAGGGCATACACACAGGAAGCCATTCAAAAGGAGGGTTAACACTTTATTCTAACCAAGTTTTATGCAAAATGTTACACTGAAAACATTTTAGTCAGACTGTGCACTGTGTCAGACTGTGAAACTACTGGTATAATCTCAGCCAAATCAATCGATATTTGATGCTTAATGTGGGTATACTTAAAGGGGTCATATGATGTTGCTAAAAAGAACATTATTTTGTGTATTTGGTGTAATGAAATGTGTTTATGCGGTTTAAGGTTCAAAAAACACATTATTTTCCACATACTGTACATTATTGTTTCTCCTCTATGCCCCGCCTTTCTGAAACGCGTCGATTT